TGACACGAAGTTTGCATTATAAGCATACAAGGTCTCGTACATGCCAGCAAGCATTGCGAGACTACAAAATGGCGGCGCCCTGTCGCCGAATGTAAACAAACCGCGCGATTGCATAAACGCTTATCTATGGCATGGAACACCAAAAAACGATAAATAATTTTAAAAAATGTGTTTCTCCGGAAAAAACCGGAGGTTTTCAGGATTTTTTAGAAATATCCGGATTTCCGGATATATCCGGAAGACTTTCATCTCTGAGAGTCACACCCAGCATTCATAGAATAAAGACTGCTTAGAAGCACTATTATATCCAACAAGAGGGAACAACTTTAATTCAACTGTGCAGTGTTTTGGATAAATTCACACTGTTGGGGTTCTGGTACAACAAAAGTGTGCAATAGCTCAGGATAAACATCACGATACAGTGCACATCACAACTTTTCTAGGTTGCTCATTCTTCAAAAAAAAAGAAAAATGGCCATACCTCACAGTAAGACCTTTGGAGAATGTGAGATTTGAGCTGCTGTGGCTCATGGATTTCATTTGGCCCAGATGACAGAATTATAGGCAAACATATGATGTGAAGAGTGAAATGGCCTCATCCCTGTATATGTTCCATCATGGTTAGTTTTCATCAATTGTAATGTGTATCATGCTGGATGGTGTATGGATTATGAATCACAGTAAACTGGCCTGATGAGCCATGCCCAAGTATTGTTTGCTCCATGGATGAGTCCTACAGTAAGGAGGTATAGCACCTTCACAACATTTTTTGCTGATGTTTGTAGATCCCCTGACCTTGAACAATCAACTGCACCTCCTGTCTGTTAGAACTTTCTAATTAGTTGTGCATGTGTTGATTCTTCAGCAGTATGACAAAGTGCTACCTTAGTATTATAACCATTTTGCTGGTTCTACTATTAGTGACAGAATAACAGATATCTATTCCATTCTATGCTTAAATCACTTACATATCAGCCCAATCTGTGAAAAAGCATGTGTGTGGTAACTCCTAGCACCATTTCCAAAAATCAGTGTAATGTGCACAAAATATTTTGTCTACATATTACATGATTCAACTTAAATTGTTCCAACACCCATACTGACTTTAAAACAACTTTGTGTTTTGAGGCTCAGTGGACTACTCTAAGTGCATTTTTTGCATATCTTGAGCCAGAGTTGATTGTTGTTCTTTCACGAGTGTATATTATGAGCCAAAGGAAACTACTAAAGTGTTTTTTTTTACATACCTTGAGCTTGAGGTGTTTCAATACCAGCAACAGGAGTGTACTTTATCTCTGTCTCTGGGAATGTGCCAAATGGACACGGCTGCCAACAAACTTCCCAAAGTTCCTGGTCACTGTCCCATCTCCTTTCAAATAATAGACTACCTGTGTAGTGCCACACTCGGTAACTGAAATGGAAGATATGATGTTTTTTATAGTATTAATGCAAGGTTTACCTATTTAAATGTTTTTAGATTACCAAAGTTTCTTGAAAATGTAATGTCATATATGTAGATTTTACATATATCATGTTTATCAGGATGTTATGCATAAATATTCAATGGTACTTTGTTCAGACATGCATGGAAAGATTAAACAGCATTAAAAGCATTTTGTATCTCTTGTATATTTCTTTAACTAAGCATGCTGAGAATTTCTACAAACTTATGAGAGGAACCTATAAATGTAACAATTAATATTTCATGCTTGATTTCCTGAAGTAGATAAATATATGCCATGCTAAATTTTTTTTCCAAATTTTGATATTTTTTTATGTCAGCTTCATGAGGGTTGTGTGAGTATAAAGTTAGTTTGAGGGGGTTTCCATTTTTAGTGGTGGCATAGTGGCTCATAGAATGGCTCCGAGTTGTTTTCTTTTTTTTTGTTACAAACTTTTAGCTCCTAGCTCTGTCATATCTTGACTGATATGAGACCTAATTACAGTTTTGGACTCAGGAAATCAAACCCTTTCGATTGATGTATTTGACCACACCCAAGGTCTCATACATTAATTTACTCTAATCCTGCCTAAAAGAATTTCAATTTGAGGATAGGCTGGTAGAGAACTTGATGAGTAATGCAACTGAATTGGTTATACACAAACCTTATGCTTAGTATTGCTGGTGCACAAAAATATAGCTAATAAAAAGAAAAAAAAAGTATCATAGATTAATTTACTCTAATCCTGCCTAAAAGAATTTCAAGTGCCATGGCTATTGAGGATTTCCTGTTGTTAAATACGAAATTGACTAAGTTTTTCTTATTAAACTTAGTTAATATGGGGGATCTACATATAAGACATCCATAGCCAATGACTTCTAACTGAAAATTAAAATGTCAACATGTAAAATCTCTTGAGAGTTTAATGTCTCCACTTTATTGAGGATATATATATAGTCAGGTTTTCAATAACAAAAATGATCTGGTCTTTATAATATAACAATAGGTTAGAGTATTATTGTGTCATCTTGCATAGAATGGGTGTAATGTAGCTTTTCAAAATAAAATACTTTTTTTTCATGTGATATAATATTCTACCTTATTCTTTTAGGACCTTAAAAACATTTCTATTTGAGTTTAAACAATACTAACTGTGATAAAACATAAGGGATTTCAAGCTTTATTGAGAGCCCAGATGAAAACAACAATGGCAGGTAACCCTGGGTAACAACCACAGAAGAATTATGGAAACACGTCATAAAGGTAGATTTAAAATACACAACAACTGTTGTTATTAGTTGAAATATCAATTGCTTTAAAAGAATGGCAAAAAGGTTTTCTTCATAAAAATATTTTGCTAACTGTACAAGAATTATGGTAATTTATATATTGACTTTACTGCTTAGTAGTGATATTGAACAAAATCAAAACCCTTTTGGTATCACACATCATTCTTTAAAATGATGTAAAAACAATTTATGATAAATAAAAGGTATTGTGTGTGTTAGAGAAAAATTAAAATCTTAGCATAAACTGAACAAAATTTTGACAAAAAAGTATACTGAATGAAATAAAAAATTACCAGATGCTATAATCCAAAGGAGGAATAAAAAAATCTGAAATTAAAAATTTAAATGAGTAAAGTAGGCAGGATTTATGTGAAATCAAAAATGAAAGTAATAGGCTTAGAGACCAACAATTACAAAAATGGGATGTTTTCTTGAAGAAAATCCTGGATAAACTTGAATATCAAAATAGAATGAATATACTGATTATTTTAGATGTAAAAAAAGCAGAAGACAAAAAGTGAAAACATAGTAATAGATATATATGAATGGAAGCTATAAAAAAGAAGAAATGGTCAGCACAGATATTGAAATAACACAATGATTAGGAAAAGCACCAGTAGGAAACAACATACTATTGAAAATGTACAGTTCTTTATAAAAACTTGTGACAAGAAGAAAATAAATTTAAAATGTAAGGAACAATAAAAGAAATTTGAAAGAATAAGAAAATAGTTCAAGACTGAAAAGTCAGTAAAGAGTTTAGTTTAGAAACACATACACATATAAAAGTAATGCATGAAGTATTAAATATGAAGATAGATATTGAGCTTATCTATATTAACTGTGATTAACAAAAGAAAATAATCAGAATGATGTGCAATGGTAAAGTTAGAAGGAGAGCCTATGGTCATGTCTTGAAAACATAAATAAGTTTGTGGTCATGGTATATCAAATATTAGAAGAAATGTTAACTACATGATGTTCTGATGTTTTAGGGTATATCAAATATTAGAAGAAATGTTAACTACATGATGTTCTGATGTTTTAGGGTATATCAAATATTAGAAGAAATGTTAACTACATGATGTTCTGATGTTTTAGGGTATATCAAATATTAGAAGAAATGTTAACTACATGATGTTCTGATGTTTTAGGGTATATCAAATATTAGAAGAAATGTTAACTACATGATGTTCTGATGTTTTAGGGTATATCAAATATTAGAAGAAATGTTAACTATATGATGTTCTGATGTTTTAGGGTATATGATATGATTATAAATACATGAATTATACAATGTCTATTCATTTACATTTCTCTGTTATGGTGTGAAAAACTGAAACTTTGATATAGCTTCTGAGGGTGTAAAAGTGTATGTGACAAATACACTTGCAAAATACTTTAAATACAAAGATTGTATTCCCTTTTCAACTGGTATATTTTCCGTTTAATTTTTCCAGGTATAACCATTTATGTGATAATATTTTGCTTTTATATTACACATGAAAGGACTCATTTTTCAAGAAAATGTAAAAAAGGCTGTATGAAGTTAATACACAAGTTTTATAATTGCTGTCAAAATTGAGATAGTGACTAAGAAGTTAACATTTTCCTAATCTGAAAATGTATTTCTGATAAATACTCATCTCCACACACAGAAATGTTATCTTCCTCATTTGTCTGCCTATGTAATTTGAATGCTGCTAACAGTGAGATAACTCAGTGACATCATCATGCAATAAAAGCCCTCCACCAGTATGAGGGTGACACAACCTCCATCTGAGTAACTCCCCCTATGCACATGCATTCATGATAACATCATTCTTTGACAAGGCAAGACAAAAAAAAACTTCCACCAGAAGTGGAGAAGACAGGTGGGAATGTGAGAAGATGTGAATATTTATCAGAAATAGATTTTCAGATTAGGAAAATGTTAACTTCCAAGACATTAACTCACCTCTACACAGAAATTCTAGAATCCCATGTTGAAATGGTGGAGTGGCCATTGCAAAACATTTAAAACCTAGATGAACTCCTTTCAGAAAGTGTCTGAAGGAAAAAGCCCATGAAGTTGACACCCAATGGCAGTGGCTTCATACTGGTACACCTGTGGAAGATGACATCTCATTTCAAACAAGGTATACTTATTGCCCATAATGTAACGAAGGGAAAAGCATATGGGCCCCAAGTGTGAGAGGAACAGGCAGAACAAGAACATAACTATCCGAGTACTTTCAAACAAGTGGTAAGCAAGCCAGTATGTGTAGTGTGGTTAGAATCCAACCAGAATGAAAAGTATGTGCTCACCTCAACTCTACTGAATAGGCTTTGATTGCAGGGGGAGGGCACATTAGTTGTGTTAAGTTCGTAAGGGGTGACCCATACTAGACTGACGGTGTCATCACCACTATACTTCTCACCATATTGTGCTAAGCTCAACCTGTGAGGATTCTTCATGGTCTACTACCCCAGCAACTTGAAACTAAAAATAGCAAGGGTCTTTCATGTTCCACTTTTAGAAAGGGAGATAATTCACCTTGGGGAGACCTGGAGAAGTGCGTGGATCCCCGTCAGACCACCAACTCAAAAGGTCTTTTATTGGAGACAGTGCAATTGGTGACTGAGCCCCATTTTTAAAAGTTGGCAAGTGTGAGCCAAAAAAGTGGCTTTTTCCATGACACTCCATGTAATTGGTATGGTCTGGATTGGACAATTAAGTAAATTTGTATACCACAAGGATAGCTCAAGTGGTCTTGCAAAACACCCCATCTTGAAATGAGCACTGGTAGAGCCAGGGTAGATGGTCTGAGTGCTTTCTGTTATCCTGGGTCAATTCAAAGTTTGGAAAATAACCATACCATCGGAGGAAACACCAGCTACCTAGTGGGATCGTGTTAAACATAAATGGAGAGAAAAATAAAAGATACCCAAGTCAAAGATGGGTTGATTGAAGAATGGCAATAGGAGCCAAGTTGTATCTGAACAATCATAGTGATGAAAGACATATGGAAAGAATGGTTAAACTCCCAAGTGGAAGAAGTCTGATGAAGGAAAGACCAGATTGGGTAGAGGAGTATATATGTGTGTGGTGGAAGAGGGTGCAGTAAGCATAGATAACTGAATGACAGCAACAACAGGCAAGGAGAATGAGGAAATGAGATGTGCTAGAAAGGTGGTACAAAGAGCAACAAGCCAACAGCTCGAACAGGGCACATGTTGTAGCATACAAAACCACATTAATGATCCAGGAAGACGTGGGAGTCAGCCAAAAAGAAAGTAATAGTGAAATATAGTGGAGAGGATAGGAAAAGAAAACACCCTATGGTATCAGTAAAGGCAAAATGCAATGGATAATGCCAACCGATAACCAGCAATGGCAAAGACTGACAAACCATAGTCAAATAGCCAATCAAAACAGGCAGAAAGGTGGAGCACAGTAGGATGGCTGGGAAAAAAGGGGTGGCAGATAGATCAACGACAAACGACCACCACTGTCATCCATAGGCAGACAAAGTGGTACGCTAATAGGAATGTGACAAGACGAAGGTAGCACAATAGGAGAGTCTGGCCCAATGGGCAACGGACTGGACAAATCCCACACATGAAGATAGAGTGATGCCATTCCTTGACAAAAAAAAAAGAGACATGTAAGGTTGAAGCAAGAGTGAGGGGGCACTGGGTGAATGAACAGGGATCTGAATGCCAAGCAAAGAAGCGGAGGAAAACAAGGCTGACTGCTAAAGAACCACCACAGTAGAATTTAAGAAACAGTGTCACTTATAAAGTCAAGGACCCAAGGGAGGTGTAGAAGAGGAAGATAGGCATATAAAAGGGGTGAGACCAGCCCTGTTGTGAGCCAAAGGATTAGAAACAGAAGACCAGAAGACAGGAATATTGGAATTGAGAGGAATGGCAAAGGCATCTAAGAGTGTTGTGCCCAATGAAGAGCAAACTCAATGAAAGACCTGGGGGTGGATAGATCATTCTGTGGCTTGAATATGATCTGCAACAAGGCAATTTCTTGAGGAAAAAAAAGAGGAGGCTCACAAACACGGTCAATGAAACCCGAGAAAGAATCCCTTGGATCTGCAAGGACAACTGGAAGAGGTCCATGTTTGCATGTCCCAAAGGAATGAGGGGTTTCAAGCAAGCCAGCATCCCCAAAAGTAAAAGAAATCTTAGTGCAGGATAAAAATGAGAAATACAAACCCTAGCAATCAGATAAACCAGAGCTCACAGGTGAAGAGGAGAAGGCTGGGCTCAGTTGGGACAAGAGACAAATAAAATGCCCAAAAGTACTAAATACTGAGTGGGCACAAGACAGGACTTGGATATCTTAATAAGTCACCCAACCACTAATCTCCTGCAAAAAGAAAGAAGGTGCGAGAAGAGGATACCACCCAAGAATTGACCAATAGAAGTCAATCATTATATCCTGCACTGTTGAGTGGTTGAGAATATGCTGCAAACCAAATATATAAATGTTGCTCATGTCTGCAATGGAGTATGCAGGTCATTAATTATAGAAAGTACAAATAAAGCATTGCAAAGATCTGTATAAGCAAGTGCAAAAATATTGTGCATATTTATGGAAAAGGAATTTGATAACCAAAGTACTGTTTGATAAAATAGGGGTAGGCCTACTGTGTCATGCAAAATCGAAATTTTGAGATATAAAAATTAAGTACTCATTGAAAGAATATAAATACCAGTCTCTAAAGTTCTCAAGGGTTAAAGACAATTAGTTTGGTTGTAGTTGAAGAATATGGAAATTTAAAGTATCTGGGTTAAACAGATATCAGCTCAAAATTATTAAAATGCACACATTGTTTAAGTAAGATGTGATACATTAAGAGATTTAACTGAAAATGGAAAGGTTAGCTAAACTATCAAAATTAGGAAATACGTTATTTTACATTTACTAATGCATTATTTCTGTTTTTAATTGTTGTAGAAATATCTTTTAATTCATGCAGTTTCCTGATAGCATATGATTATATCGATTACAGAAATGCCGCTATCATATTTAATGTACAAAAACTAAGTTGTGTGATATTACGTATTCTTAACTGTACGGCAAACTAAGTTTCTAAGTTTAAGATGGTCAGCTGCTGATTTTTATACTTGTTGATACTGATGTATTAAATATTGTGGAGAAAATGGATCTATATATATATCCAAAAGAACTGTAAAATCTGTTTTAAATTGCAATGAAATACACTAAAATTTGCACTGAGGAGTAACATAAAACATGAACCACTGTAGTGGTTTGTAATAGGGATCACCCATTTGTTCTTCTTTATTATTATTTAATATTTTTCTGCCAGCCACAGCAAACATGGCTGTGAATATTGTGAAGCACTTGAGGCATCTTGTGAGAATTACAAATGCTTCAGTGAACAATAAATAGAATTTTACGTGAATATTCCTGTAAGACGCATATACATATCAAACGAAATAAAGACATGCAAACTAGCGAATGTAGAATGGAAGTTACATAGACACAATTTTTCAAAATAAGGAAATGGAAATCATAAAGTAAATGCTGAGCTACATTTCAAGCTACAATATATGAAGTAGAAACCAGCGGTTTGCCTTATCTACATTAAACAGACATGATTGTAGCAGAGAGAAAAGAAGCGAGTCCTATTAAAAAAAAAAATTACTGGCAGACATTTGCTCGGAAAGACGAAGTGGAGAAATACATGTAAATAGGCTGCCAATTAACAGCTTTTGACTATAACCAATTATCAGTTAGTTTTGGATTGATAAAACATTGGGATTAAACCAATTAGATGGAGGATCTACCTGCAAAGTAAGCATGTAGCACTAGTTGAATCATTGTATGAACACATAAAAATGGGAATGAATAATGTTCTTGGACCAAAAGTCAGTTCTCCAATGACAATCCAGAGGCCAAAATACTCCTCACAAGTTATCAGAAAGAAGAAGAATAGCAGTATTATAGATGATTCAGAATCTCCAGCATACAAACTCTCTGTAAGTAATTATTGCTACCCTTTCTAGTCTAACAATATAGTTAGGAAATAATGTATAATGTGCATGAATAATAAGATGATATTAAAAAAGAATTCCCTTATTGGATTAGTAAGATTTAATCAATGAACAATTGTTCACTTAGAACAAAGAATTTGATGCTTTTAATGTAGAAGTATAAGCAGAATCACATAACTGTAGTCCTGTACACTTATGTCAAGACAGTAATATATCTTTATATGCCCTATTGACATGTGTGTGTTTAAAAGTTCTTTGACTGATAGCAGTAGAAACAACCCCTATTCAGTGCCATGCCCACCTTCTATAATTAGCCTTTAGCTTTATGTAGTAAGTACATGTAGCTTGTACACATGTTTATAGTCATTAGAAAGAGCTCATTTTACACTATAATTCCAAAATGGTTATTTTGAAATTGTCACCAAGTTGTTGTCATTGGGTAGATACAACTGCTTGTACTATTGTTGACTGCTTTGTTCATGATAGCATATTGGTTGTTTCGTACCTAAATATGTTATAATTAGTGAGACAGTTAAATTGTATTTAGGTTTTACTTTTATATTTTAGTTAATTATGCAATATTTGTTTTAAAAATTCACATTTGAAATGATTAATAATTTTGTAAATATATTCTAATAGAACACAAAGCATGTACAAATTGATTTTGCTGGAGGCTATAGTTTCTATACCATTCATACCATTCTATTGCATGCAGGCAACCATTGATGTATGTGTACATAAATGATTATTTGTAAATAACAGGAAAGGAAAATAAAATAATAAAATCAAACTATCAGTGAAAAGGTAAAGACATGAAATTACACTTACGGACCAAAGAAGATATTGTAAGATTATTCTATGAAGTACATATTTTCATTTCTTAATTTTAAATATTTCATTGCACTGTACTTTGATGAAAATAGCTAGAGTTAGTAACATAGTATAGAAAATGGAAAATAAATATAAACATAAACATTTACCTAAAAAAAGCATTTGATATTTATTTAGGAGGTTCTAGAGATTATGCAAATGATATGTGAAAACTGTAAGATAATAAATAGTATTTTTATACTCAAAATGAAAATCGCTTTGCAGATAAACTATTCAGAGTCCAAGTGCAAATAAGTACATTAAATAAAGAATTTTTATTACAAATAGTAAAAAAAATCAGAATTAAATGTTATATTTTTCTTAAACTTAATACTTTTAGGAAAGCTCTTGTCAAATTTCAAACAATTTCATCCACTACTTTAATTTTTTGAACGAAATATAGCAATAGCTACATTAGCTCCTTACAATATAAGACCCATTAGCCAAAGGGTTAAAATCCAACCCCAAACGATTTGCCTACCAGCCTCCCACTACAACTGTAATAAAACCTGGGCAATATTACTAAATGCATCATTGAACATTGTGTAGGGGGAGCTGTATAACTGTTGACACCCAACTGTTTTAATGTAGTCTGTGGTTTATATGGAGTCTCATAATTTACTACATGCATGTGTATATAGCCACGTGCAGGCCGTGTATGTAATTCAATGTTTATACGACAGGCATGTACCATAGCAATTATCAATTTACTGTCACAACTGTATTGATACTGCATATTATTTGTTTATATATATATATATAAACTTCCTGCCCTTTTGGACACAACACTGATGAAGGATCACAATTTTTTATTTACCACTGCATGATCAATTTCGCCCCTGTTACACAAACGTTATACAAATGCTTAGGCTGTCTCCCACAACACAAATCTTTAAGCAGTAGTTTAAAAGATAGCACCAGACTCAGTTTTGAGCATCGGATCAGCAATCACAGTGATAGCTGACAGTAAGTGTCGAATTATAGCCAACACTGTGTGATTGCAAATATTATAGATACTGTAGATAGAATAGCTATCCTTGAAGTTGACTATAAGAAGTGACAAGAATTATGCAAAGAGGATATGGCAATTCTAGGCAAAAGTGAGGCAGAAATATTGTAGTTATATATATTTTATTTAGAAAATATTTAGTTTTAGATAAAGTATGCATCAGCGACAGCCCACCCTAAACTCTGGTGGGCTGTCACTGATCATCAGAAAGGGAGGCAAGAAAGGTATATTAATACAATAAATCTATAACTGTTAATTAACATGTTTCTGACTTTGTAGATTGTATACAATGTCACTCAAAGAGGAAATCTGGCCAGATGCAGCAAAACTGTGGCCAGCCTTACTATGGCCACCAGAGAGGAGGAGGAAGAGGAAGAAGAAGGGGGGAATGTGGCAACTACAAGAAATATTAAAAAATACTTATGAAGTAATTTTACTTATAATATGACCCTCATTGCTTTAAAAAACTGAACAATTGTGAAGAAAATTCAAACTGAATAAATTGCAAAGATTTTTTTTATTTTATTTAGTGCAAGCTTTCAACTCCAGTGCTAGAGTTTAAAAACAATTTTGTAAACATAGTTGATGGCTTGTGCCGAATAAACACTTAAACAATTGCACAATTTATTTTATTAATAGTCCCACATACTTTATGGGTTAAAAAAAAGTTTGAAAATTCCAACAAGTAAACTAAAAACAACACTTACCCATTAGCCACTCTGAGTCGTGGAGAGGTTGTAGCTGTTAGTATGTGTTCTCCATCTGGACACCAGGACAGAAAAGTAGAGTCTGAGGCTTGGGTTTGAGTAACCAATTTTTTTGCTTTCATATCCCACACTTCAACATTACCCCTCAAGTTACCAAATCCGGCCAATATCAACAGTAGTTTAGTCAAGGTAACACAAGAATCACAAGATCTTATCTCTTAAACTATCAAATCCAGTCAATATCAACAGTAGTTTAGTCAAGGTAACACAAGAATCACAAACCCTTATCACTTAAACTATCAAATCCAGTCAATATCAACAGTAGTTTAGTCAAGATAACACAAGATACATAAAACCTTATCACTTAAACTATCAAATCCAGTCAATATCAACAGTAGTTTAGTCAAGGTAACACAAGAATCACAAACCCTTATCACTTAAACTATCAAATCCAGTCAATATCAACAGTAGTTTAGTCAAGGT